CATATATATTACATTAATTTGGATGGGCAGCAGTAAGGGGAGGTTCAGACGGGAGGAGGTCTAAATATGATAAAACTAAGTTGGATGAAAATAGCAAAAATTCAATAAAAATAATTAAAATGCTTTGGCACATGTATAATTTTACCATTTATTAAAGAAAAAAGCAAAATTCATACTAAAAAAACATGCTTTTTAAAATGAACTCAAGGGGCTGGAGTGTTGGCTCAGTAGTTAAGAGCACTGGTTGCTCTTGCAGAGGACATGGGTTTGGTTCCCAGAACCCACATGGTGGCTGACATCCATCTGTATCTCCAGCTCCAGGGAATCCAATGCCCTCTTCTGACCTCTGTGGGCATTGCATGACAAGGGTGTGCTTACATACATGCAGGCAAAATCCTTATACACATAAAATAATAAATAAAATATTTTTAAGATGAACTCAAAATATAGAGAGCAAATATTTTAAATTTTTTCCTTACACATTTGTATACTGTGTGGAATATGTTTCCTATCCAGGCAACCATCAGTTATGAAGACCGGTTGTGCAGAATATATGAGATAAAAACAAAGTTTCACTTAGAGTGAATTGCACAGTTTCAAAAGCCTGAATGTACAAATGCTGTTTGGAGGAAAGGAGAACCTGGCCCTGCAAGTCACTTAAAGGTGACAGTAAAAACAGCAGTTATTTAAACTATTTTAAAGTTAGTTTAACTTTTTTTCATGGGCACTGAGACTCAAACGAACTTGAATCATGGAAAAGCTTTCTGTGCATTTATATCCTAGTGCTGCCTGAGAAGTTTGCTTCTTTAATTTATTCTAGAAGGCTCTCTTCCAGGAGCACTTAATAAACTCTGATTATAAAAGTCATAGAACAGCAAAGTAAAAATTGTCAATAAGCACTGCCAATTGCATAATATAATGACGCCAGGACAAACCTAATAAAACTGTAATGGTTTCATTGCTGGGTGGATTGTGACAGGATGTCACAGTGCATGACATGATACAAATGGGGTGGGATGTAGCTCCATTGGTAGAGTACTTGCCATGGATGAAGCCTTAGGTTAGATTTCCTAGCACCACATAAACCAGACATGCTGGTTTTCCCCTGTAGGTGGAGGCAGGAGGATCAGAAGTTCAAGGTCTTCCTTAACTGCATGAATCAAGGACAACCAGAATACTTGAAACCCTGTGAGGAGAAAAAGAAAAGGAAAAGAGAAAGAAATGCAGCACTGAACTGGGACTCTTTCAAAAGAGCTTTTCCTGGGTTGTGTTCCACTTAAGGAGTTTCTGAAGTTCATCACAGTAATTTGAGCTTATTTAAAATCAGACCTTGCAGGTGCAGTCCATAGACCCAGCTATCATGCAAATGTCTTCCTTACAAACTAGAAATGCCAAAGCATTTTTTTACGTCTTGTACACATTTGTACATTCCTAAGAATAGGTTATAAATACTGTGCATATAACAAGTTAGCTGACCAAAATGTTGGGATTAGCAAGGGAATTTTAGGGAATAGAACAACAGACAGCCCCTGCCTTGAAATCATTTTCCCTTTCTTGATATTTGTTGTCAGATGAATATTCTTTGCTAAAGCACAGAGGAAGAATGAAAGGATGTTAGAGGGAAAAAGAGGGAGGAAAAAGAATAATTTAAAGAGTGGACAATTTCCTGGATCCAGTAATTCTAGAACTGAAAACATTAAAAGTAAAAATAAAACATACTTTTGCCAAGCACACACTGATATGTTTGAAGGGCTGTTCACACATAGTTTTCAATTAGTTCAAATGGTAGAGATAAGCTTAGAGCAAACAACCACTGTTACAAACTCAAACATATAAAGGCTGAGTATACATTCGCTA